TATTTTTTTTTTTTTCAGACAGAGTCTCACTAGTCACAGGCTGTCCTTGAACTTGCTATGTAACCTAGGCAAGCCTCAAACTCATGGCAATCCTCCTGCCTCAGCCTCCCAGTGCTGGGATTACAGGTGTGTGCCACCATGCCCGGCTACACGGGACTGCATTACAACCACTGGATCTGGACGGACGGCACATGTTTGCTAAAGTCTTTTAAACTTTTCTGTAAGTATCAAGTCAGGCGGTAAGTGAGATAAAACATTTTAAGAACACTGTTGCCCGACCTGGCGAGTGTGTTAACTCTCTTAAAATCCTTTAAGATGTAGCCTGTGGGCTCCCAACTCAGGGTTACCTGGGCAGCAGCAAGGCCTGCCGGGGTCTAAGAAGTTACCTTTGGAGAAAGTTTTATATCTCAAAACCATCCATCAGTGTTTAGTGTTTGAGGCACAGTCACAAGCTGTTAGGCCAAGGGCTCGGCCTGAGAATTGTCTGGTGTGACTGGGGGGGGGCGGGTCCTAATAAAAATACAAAAACATAAAGGTGTTTAGGAAGCATGAAGAATAAATATTTCTACCACAAGTGCCCTCCTTTTCATCCTGTACCTTACTTACCTGCTACCCCGAAGGCACCTCGGCTGTGCTCTCCAATCTCATGCAGGTACTAGCCCCACCCTCTGGCCCTACTGAGTAAGTGAGAGGTGCACCAAGACAGGACAAGGGAGACACAGCCAACGCCTCTTTCCACCACGGAGACGGCACGTGCATTCGTGTGTGCCCCACTCATTGATGTGAACGCCCAACCTATCAACAATCTGTTCAAACAGCTAGACACAAACGCACACAAATACCGACAATGTGTTCCCACAACTCTGCACTACCTGGGGTTCTCAAAATAGAGTTCTCATGTTTCTGAGCTGTTGCTCATGTTTGTACTGTCCAGTACACTGTTATTCACTAAGTTACTTTCCAGTCTGTAAAACGAAGATGACACTACCGAATCTGTAAAATGGGAATTAAATGGGTTAATACAATGTGTGGGTCACAGTAATCTCCACGTTGGGGTCACGTCATTGTTACTGTAAGTTTTTAGGAGCCAGGACAGACCTGACTCCCCTAAGACCCCTTCTCTGATTCACTGACTCCTCATGGACTATTTCACAGTCAAAATTTCTATTACCATTGCTAGTAAAATATACAAAAAACTTTTTGGTATAAAAATGCAAAATAAGTACGTATTCACCAATTACTTTTTAAAAGATAAACATACAAGTCTGGTTCTTCTTGGGAATGCTTTGGCTTTGTATCTGCGTCCTCAGGTTGCTCTGGGATCTAGTTCCAGACAGACTGCTGTACCATCTGACTTTCACCTTAACCTCCACATGAACGCAGGCCACCCTGGTAAAGTTCCTTTAGAAACAGGCAGGAGGGTTTTCCTTCTCAGGCTCCCTTGAAGACTTCCTCCTATGCCCGTACCTTAAGCCTTCCCATCCGAACGTCTATCTAACGTGGTTTGGGCTCTTCTGACCTCAGTCTTGGGAAACGAGAGTCCTAAACTTCTGTTTCCATTTCAATAACAGCTTCACTGCTAGCAAAACTGAAAGAGCATCCTTGACAATATTCTGAGTATACCATCCCACCTCACTATTGTTTTCTTATTTATCAAACCAGCTTGCTGGTTAAGAGTATACATGTACTCAAGTATTTGTTGTGGAAATAATCTCTCCCCAGTTTTTTCTTTTTTGGTACCAGGAATCGAACTCAGGACCTTGCCCTAGCCAGGCAGACGCTTGTGCCACTAAGCTATATCCCCAGACCCTCTCCCAAAGTTTGGATCATACTTTTTCTCCCATCCAAGTACTAACTAGGCCTTACTAGCTTCTGAGACCAGGAGCATTTTAAATGGTACAGCTGCAGACAAACTAGTTTTCCTTATGCTGATCACCAACGTATCTGTTTCTAACCTGATTTCACAGATGAAATTGAAATTACTAACTACCATTTGGTCTTAGGTGTATTGTGTAAACCAAACTTTTGTTGTAAGTATGGTGAAAGATAACCTATTAAGCACCTAAACACCAGGCAGTAAGCTAGCTGCTTTAACATATCGTATAATTTAATCCTCAAAACAACCTTATAAGGCTGGACGCTACATTTCACCACTACAGATTTTAAAAGTCACAGGGGTTAAGGTATTTGGCCAGTCTCACACCTGTATTAAGCAAGGAGGGCAGAAGAGAGGAAGCATGAAATCAGGGTAATGTAAACTCGTATTCTGTCCAACATGAGGCGCTGTCCTAAGCAGCTGTGCTAGAAAACTCACATCCGTATCACCTCTCTCTTTACCTCTCACATCCAGCATGCTGCCCAAGCACAGCGTGGTGCTTACAAGCACAGCCTTGGGGCCAGACCTTGACATAGGTCCAGAATCTGCTACTCACTAGCTGTGAAATACCTTGATCTGTATGGAGTAGTTCTTGGTCGTCTGAGAGCACAGAGGCAGAAACTGAACACCTGTGCCTGGGACACCCGGGAAACGCAGAGGTACGAGCGACCACCTCCGGGGTTACTGAAGGCCACGTGCAGGAGCGTGCGTGGGTGTGCGCAGAGCACGGGGCGGGGAGCACAGGGTCTGCTGCAGTCGTATTTCCAATTTTAGTTACACGCTCTTCATCAAAGTGGGAGAAGCTGAATGGAGAGTGGTTAAAATACTCGTCTTTAAAGTACTAGGGGCAGCTAACTCACAGGAGAGGTATGATTCTCCACTCATAACTATCTACACCGGACTCTTACGTTAGAGCTCAGATCCTGACAAACATAAATACATCGCCGACAGGCTACGACTTTATCAACGCGCTACGCTGCGCGTGACGCTGAAGTGTGAGTCTCGTAAGAAATACCTTCTCTCACCTGACTGGGTTTTGCTGCTCTGCACCTCTCCGTTATTTTGTGGCTGTTGGGCTGTTACAGCACTGCTTTCTGACTGGCTGCTTAACACCTTAACAGCAGATCCCAGCTTTGCTGCTATGACGGGAAAATGCTGACCCCGCTTTAGAAGCTGTTTATGTTCCTGGTGGCGAAATCGTGGCGGCACTTCGCGAGGATACCGAGGCAAAGCCTGTGGCTGCTGCTGCGGCGCCTGCTGCTGCTGCTGCTGCGGCGGCTGCTGCTGCGCGGGTGGCGGTGGCTGCGGCTGCGGCTGCGGCTGCTGACTGTTGGCTGTGGCTCGCTTGGCATTATTATTAGTGCTGGTTGCTGTGGAAGTGCCGTTATTAGAGTTGGCAGGCTGAGGCTGGCTTACACTGGGCTTTATCTGTTCTGGCACTAATCCCAACAAAAGAAAAGGGGTGGAAAAGATTAGCCAGTAAAGTGTACCTCCGCAGTACGCCATCTACATTCAAAAGCACCACGAAAACAACCCGCACCGAACAAAAGCCTACGTGGGCAGCAACAGCCTCACTCTCAAGCTCAGGTTCTCCCAGGAGGCGTCCCTGCCAGCATACTTCCCTTCTCCTACTCACTGCCTACCTCCAAGGGCAGAGCCCGGGCCTCCACCGGCCGCGACGGCAGCTCATGCTCACCTCGTCTTCCTCGTACCAGACGCTCACTGATGGGAAGCACTTTTGTCAAAGCCGTGCGACTCACCAATGACTACAACAGAACAAACGTGTCCCGTCTTTCTCTGTTCTGATACTGGAAACTGAACCCAGGGACTTCGTGCTGAGCTACCTCCCTGGCTCTTTAATTTTTTGAGACTGGTCTTGCTAAATTGCCCAGGCTGGGCTCGAACTTACAGTCCTCCTGCCTCCGCTTCCCTGGGTGCTGGGAGTGCAGGCATGCACTGCCGTGCCCAGCGTGTGTCAAATTGAATGCTCAGTTCTCTGGTAACTACTCTTATTCTGCTGCATTTTAAACTATACTGGGTCTCTACTTTAAATCTTTGTAAGACAAAAATAAGGGTAGAAGATAATTTGTTGGTTTCCTGACAAAACAGCAAAGTTAACAATATTTTTCACTGATAAAATATAAAATCTAAACCAAGTAAGAGAAACTAAGACTATGGAGGTAAATACAAAGAGAACAGAATGAAGTCTATGAGACTAATCAAAATTGGAGAAATAATTTCGACGCTCATTTAAGCAAATCTCATAAAAAATAACCATATGTCTACTATGTGAATAATCAGAAACCCTTAACTGAATTTTGGACTCCTCTAAAAGATAAACACAATACACTGGTGGAAAGGCCTTAAACCAGCAAAAATATAGTCAATCTCTCAAACTACAGACAACATGGTACCCAAGCCAGGTGTCAATCACAGCTCTGCGTCTTCAAACTAGCTGTGTAACTGACTGCACCTATTTTTTCCTGGGTGGAACAGAGGTAAGACCGACACTCTGCAGAGATATACTCTGGCTGAAGGTTCTCGTGATTATAAAGCACAGCACATAAGGCTGTATGAGGAGGGGCTGCTCTTTTAATGACTGCCCATCTCATGCATCTTCACAGACAGCACTGGGAGACAAGCAAAGTGAAATGTACCCATGTTACTGGTAAGGGCACTCAGAGAAAACTAGTTCTTGAAATAAGCCAACCCTACTCTCACTCCTGGGGTAATGTCTGTATCTTTCTCAAGAGATGGTGCTGGTCAACTGTCCAGGATATTGTAACTTCTCAGTAAAAAGAAGCTATTACTGTGACCGAAATAAAACAAGTATCTATCGAATGTCTGTAATGTACATGATGCTGTGATTGAAGCCTTGGTCGCCTGTGTTGATCACAATAGTCACCTAACGTTTTATTACCTAATCTCAGTGTGACAGTCTCCCTCACGGAACAATCTAAACTCATTAACTACCTTCTTTCTCTGAACACTGGTGATTTAGTACATACTACTCACATTAAATTTTTTTTTTTTAATACATGACCTTGGCCTCATTTCTTTCAATGTAACTTCAATTTCTTGGGTACTACAGACCAACTGGCGTCCAGCAGGAATCGTGGAAGGAATTACAAACATTCCATCCTCTTCACTCTCTCTGACGTCACTGAAAAGCCTCATGAATAATTTGGAGCAAGTGCTTTTTAGGCCTAATTACTTCACCTACGAAAATTCTGTCTCGCAGACAATTTACAGCTCCTAACACGTAGCAATGACGCATCTTCCTGTGTGTGTCTGACAGGGTAATAAGTAAATATTAGCCATTAAAAACACATTTAAGGAGAACAATAAGGCGTGAGAATACTCTAAAGTGCCTCCAAATGAAAGGAAGATGAACTACGCACCGATGGAATTATGGAGCCCAGCACCGGGCTGGCGGTACCTGGCGAGAAGCGGCAGGGGGCAGGGTCCGCTGCTCCTGCCACAGCGGCTCGCCTGCTGTTTCTAACTGAAAACTCAGCATTCTTCTAAGAACTGCGATACTAATTTTATACCCAAGCAGGGTGCTATTTATGTAATAAAGCAGTAAGACAAGGCTCTCCCTATATTCCAAAACTTAGAAGGTAAGTACACGCACATACCAGGGCCTCTACAAAGACTTCTGAAGAACCCAACACTAAATCTAAGTACCTGGGAATTCAGAGCAGTCTCTGTCGCCCAGCAACCCCACACTACCACAAATCAAACACATGCGTTCCTCACCAATAAAATACCACGCAGAAAAGAAGGCTGAGACGGGCGCCCCTTTCTGGAGCCAGAAACATTCACTAAGCCCAGGAAGGAAACTGAGACAATGCAACCACCGGTTACAAAACTGAAGTGCCCTTGAGTGAATCTCAAACATAGAAGGGGCCAATACCAAGTAACAGAGAGGCTCACAGTCACTATGTGTGGGAAGTAGAGAGTTTCTGGAAAACACTACGTGGTGAGTAACTCCGCCTATTCTACAAGGGCTGACAGAAAAGTATGGTGGTGTTTACATTTTGAAAATTTCTTACTGTAAAAGACCCCCGGCTTCAACACACTACCCTGTCACGCTTTCCACTTCCTGAAGCAGTTCTGGAAGTTTCTTTCATGTCTTACAACATGGGGTCAAAAATACAGGGGAATGTGGCGGCCAAGTTTTAGTCAATGAAAAGGCAGGCTTCTAAACACATCACAGTATGTTTCCCTCCACCGTACTCACTGGATCTGGCACTGTGTAACTTCTGGCTCTCCTCCAAAGTCAAAACAGCCATGGAAAGTAAATATTTTGAATCCATTTAAGATGTCCAGACAACCAATGACAGACATACCAGCACTTGGATGCTGAGGCAGGAGGATCACAAGTTTGAGGCCAGCCTGTGCTACACAGGGAGTTCAAGGCCAGTTTGGGCTACACAGTGAGACCCAGAATGGAAGGGAGGAAGGGAGAAAGAGAGGGCGGGCGGGAGGGAGGGAGGGAGAAAGAAAGAGAAAAGGAAGAAGAGAGAGGGAAAGAAAGGAAGGGGAGGGGAAGGGTGAGGATGATGAGAAAAGCGTGTCTACTGTGAGGGCAGTTATTTAGAGGGGGCACTTAATGGCAACGTATCTCTTACTGTAATACATATTCTTCAATAAAGACTGACCATATTTTTCTATCACTGCATGTGTGCAGTTTAAAATTTTTAATTATAGCAAAAGCACTGAAGCCACTGAAAGGAGGAAAAAAGGTGGGTTAATACAAAATAAGAAGCCAAGAATAAGCCCAACAATAAGTGTAATTACGATAAATATGAAGGTGTTAAATTCACTTGTTACAACATGAAGTCTCTTTAATTAGGTTAAGAAAAGAAAATCAAACCTGAAGAAAATACTTTGCACAAAGTACTCCTGAAACAACGCAGGAAAGTTGGGAGAAAAAGAATGTACAGAGAAATGTATACCACCAAGAAATGCCAAGAAAATTGAAATGAAACAGCATTAATATCATACAAACAAAATTCATGAAGAAAAACAGTATAAAGGATAAACACTTCAGTTACAATTAAAAAGATAAAACAGGAAATTTTATATTCCAAGCCATATAGTATCAAAACATGTAAATCAAGGGGAGACAAAAAAAGAAAAATAAAAAAATACAAAACCATGTACCTTGACAACAGATAGTACATTTTTTTGACAAGTACCTATGATAGTCGTAAAAAGTTAACACACACACACCATAAAGAAAGCACCAATAAACCACAAAAATTATAAAAATACAGATCAAATTTCTTGACTACAATACAGTGTCACTAGAAAATGACAAGAACTAGCAAAATAAAACTACCTTAAAAATACTGAGTTGAAAACGAAATAAATGCTGAACTGCAGGGTCACTGACAAAATAATAGTAAAACACTGTAAGATATTTCAAGATACCATTAACTCTATGTTAAAAAAATAGTTACAGCCTTGTGCCAAACAAACCAGCAAAAATATAAAGCATCCAACTCAAGGAGGTGAAGAAATTAACTAAAGGAAGCAGGAAAAAGGCGGCAGTAAAGATAAACATAAAAATCAATGGCTTTAAAAGTGAACCCATAAATCCAAGGAACGGTTATGTCAGGAAAAATAAAAAACCTAGGCAACACTTTTTTAAAAATGAAAATAGAAGCTGGGCGTGGTGGAGCACGCCTGTGATCCCAGCACTCGGGAGGCTGAGGTGGGAGGATCGTGGCAAGTTCGAGACCAGCCTGGGCTACAAAGTGAGCTCAAGGCCAGCCTGACTGCAGAGTGAGCCCCTGCCTCAGAAAGATAATCAATCAATCAATCAATCAAATGAACATAGAAAAAAGAATTTTTGCCAAGCATGGTGATGCACACGTGTAATCCTAGCACTTAGGAGGCTGAAACAGGAGGATCGCTGAGAGTTTGAGGCCAGCCTGGGCTACATAAGCGAGTTCAAGGCCAGTCTGAACTACACAGTGAGACTGTGTCTCAAAAAGAACAACAAAAAGGTTTCTTTATACTCGACTCTATAACTAGTTTGAAAAGTTACTGGGGGTGACCACCAAAGAGGCAGGAAATCTAACTCGGCAGGCATAGAAGACATTTAGGAACGTGCCCACGAGGATCAAATAATCTCACTGGTCACCAGTACTATTTATTGTGTAACTGGTCTGTTTCTAAACTACAGCACTTTTAAGAAACATGTAACAAGTTTAAATTGCTGCAGAGCACAGCAAAACACGCAGCATCAACACATCAGTTTAGAAATCCTGAACAACGTGAACAATCAGAGCTAAAAAAAACAGGAAAGGGAAAGACACAAACTGTCAGCATCTGGGAAATACAAGACCACGCACGGGTGTGGTCTGAACACCGCACAGGGCTAAGATCGCACACACGTTAGCCTGTGGACCCAGCACCCGCCAGAGCC